AACTAGGACTATACTAATAGATATGGTTCACAAGCTATTTTACAGGGAGTTCTCAGACCAACTCATCACATACTAGAATGAGCAGGAGCCAAGTTTCCCTAAATAAGGTTCATGTAACACCACTGGTGGTAGACAAGATGAATTTTGGTGGCACCTGGACATTTTTGTCTGATAGTTAAATGTTCATTTTTATGGTTACCTTTCATTTATGGCAAATCATAGCTTTTCATTTAGAGGAAGGAGCTCCCGTGGCACAATAGTTAAGCACTCAGCTTCTAACCAAAAGGCCAGCAGTTCGAATTGGTTTCAGCCACTTTGCAGGAGAAAGATGTGGCAATCTGCTTCCATAAAGATTACAGCCTTGGAAACCATATGGGGCAATCCTACATTGTTGTACAGAGTCACTATGAGTCAGAATTGACTTGTTGGCAATGGTCATCAAGTTTTTGGTTCATTTAGAGTACTGATAGCTTTCTTTCTCAGGAAAATTTAAATTAATGATAGAAAATCTTCAGTAAATCATAGTTTAGTTGGAATTCAAAATACTGATTTAAGAACACTAGCAGTGCAGTTAGATAGATTAGTACTAACCCTCCTCTGCCACTCATGGGCTATGTGATCATTAGCAAGTTGCTCTCCCGAGTTTGCTTCAGGATCTGTAAAATGAGATATTTGTATAGATTTCATACTTGCTGTGAGAGTTAAATGATAATGCATGCCATATTCTTATCATAATTAGCTCTCAGTGAAGTGAGTTCTTAGTATTTCAGTCCAAAAATCAGCAATAATGTTGACAATCAACACTAGCCAAGGATCACTGGAAGAGTTATGGGACTGTGAAGTCACCATTTTTGATACTCGTGAAACATCCAGGAGCTTCAAACTTCAAAAGATATAACTTTCAACAAGTGTGGAGGGGAAAAAAATATACTACAGCAAAAAGAACCACCTCCCATCTCTATCTGAGTTTACGATCTCAATTATAACATTTCAAATCTCTGTCACTCTCTTCCAGGCAAACACCCTCTTGTTGCCCCCCACTCTAACTCCAACTACTACTTTTCAGTTACAGGACAGGGAGGCAGTGAGGGAAAATGGTGTGTGGGCCAAGAATTTCTCACTTTGACTGCACATTGCAATCACTGGGGAGCTTTGTGAGATAGAGATGTCTGAATTTCACCCTCTGAGGTTTTGATTGGTCAGGATGGGGCCCAGTCATTGGTATTTGTGAAAGCTCTCCAAGTGATTCTAGCCAGCAGCCTGGGTGAAGAAACCATGGTCTAACTCACTGACATTAGCTCAGTTCAGCCCTGACCCTCTGGATCGGGTAAAAGTAGACTGTCTCCTGACTGAGTTGAATTCTGCATCCTACTTGGTGATGTTGTTGTTAGGTACCATCAAGTTGGATGACTCATAGTGACCCTATGTACAACAGAACAAAACACTGCCCAGTCCTGGGCCATTCTCACAATCCTTGCTATGCTTGAGCCCCTCACTGCAGGCACTGTGTCAATCCTTCTCATTGAGGATCTTCTCCTTCTTTGCTGACCCTCCATTTTACCAAGCATGATATCCTTCTCCAGGGACTGGTCTCTTCTGACAACATGACCAAAGTACGAGAGACAAAGCCCAGCCATTCTCACTTCCAAGGAGCATTCTGGCTGCACTTGTTCCAGGACAGTTTTGTTCATTCTTCTGGCAGTCCATGGTATTTTCAGTATTCTTCACCAACACCACAATTCAATGGCATCAACTCTTCAGTCTTCTGTATTCACTGTCCAGCTTTTACATGCATATGAGGCGACTGAAAATTCCATGGCTAGTGTCAGGTGCACCTCAGTCTTCAAAGTGACATTTTTGCTTCTTAACACTTTAAAGAGATCTTTTGCAGCAGATTTTCCCAGTGCAATATGACGTCTGATTTCCTGATTGCTGCTTCCATGGGGTTGACCTTTCATTGGATCCAAATAAAATGAAATCTCTGACAACTTCAATCTTTTCTCCTTTTATCATAATGTTGCTTATTGGTCTAATTGCAAGGATTTTCATTTTATGTTGAGGTGTAATCCATACTCAAGACTGTAGTCTCTGATCTTCGTCAGTAAGTGCTTCAAGTCATCTTCACATTTAGCAAATAAGGTTGTGTCATCTGTTCATTGCAGGTTATGGTTCTTCCTCTAATCCTGATGCCATGTTCCTCATATAGTCCAGTTTTTTGGATACATATTGAATAAGTATGGGGAAAGGATACAACCTTGATGTGCACTCTTCATGATTTTAAATTATGCAGTAATACCCTTGTTCTGTTTGATCAACAGCCTCTTGGTCTATGTATAGGTTCTTCATGAGATTAAGTGTTCTGGAATTCCCATTTTTCGCAATGTTATCCATAATTTGTTATGATCCATGGACAAATGCCTTTACATAGTCAATAAAACAAAGGTAGACATCTTTCTGGTAGTCTTTGCTTTCAGCTAAGATCAGACATCAGCAGTGATGCCATTAGGGCAGCAGTGAAATGTTGACTTTGTTTTAGTAGAGCTTGTTTATTCCTATATTGTGGAGAATGTGCTGTTTGACCCATGATGCAGATTTGTTTTGTTCAGACTCTGTCTGCAGTTTCTTTGCTGTTTCAAGGGAGGGGTCTTAAAGGATATCAGTCTTCCATCTTGTCCTCATCCATAGAACTATTAGGCTGTCTGGTTGGAGGCCCAATTGTGGAGACCTTTGTGCCCCAAATTTGGATGAGTTGTCGAAATGTTTCCTGTCACAATGGGGGACCTGGGCCCACTGAACTATCCCGAAGAGTACTGGAGTCACTAAAAGCAAGGTAGTTGCTGTCAATCAGCCCAGGCCTGCCCGAGACTCCGGTTTTCCTTACTTTCCCAATGAGGGGCTTCAGCTTCAACCCAGACATAACGATGTCAGGTTCAGGGAAGTCAAAGACTCAAAAGTCCAAACAGATGTGAGTTCTTAGGGAAAATCAGGCATCTTCAGCTGTCTAACACGGGCTGTTTCCTGATCTTGCAGACCACAGGAAGAGGCATGGCTCAGGTAGCTGGGCAGTTTGTGATCTGACTCAGGTGTCATTTCAGAAAAACCGTACGTCAAAATTTCCCCTCCTTCCTGCTTGAACTTGTATTTCCACTTCATGGTGGATTCTACTCTATGGGCTATAACCCACTCAGCAAGGAATAGCACTTTTCACAGGGGGCTCTTTTAAAATACTCACAAACATTAAGTACAAATATTTAATCTGTAATTTGTATCACATTTATAGAACAGACTGTGCCAAAGTCAAACATTTTTAGGTTTGACTTACCACACGGGTTGTTTCCCAGTTTCCTATGTAAGATCCTGGAGGAGCTGGGGCTCTAGGGTGGAAACCACAAGATGTGGAAGAACTCAAGACTTTGGGTCTCCTGGAGCTGGTGGTCCTTATTGTCTCCACAGATGGAGAAAACCTCACACTCACAAGTAATGTGGCTCGGTATTATCGAGATCTCCACCTACTCTATCTCTGAGGCTTCCCCTGCCCCATCCTTCCTCCAAGGATTGCTGTGTCTCATGGAATTACTTAGCACAAAAAGTATTTAGGGTATGTTTCGGTTTACTACATTGGTGGCAACCAAAGAAATTCCAACCACTGTTCTCACATAGATACTTGTTCTTAATAAAAATGATGCCAAGAGGAACCTTTGTCAGTTTAGCTAGGGGCGGGTTGCCAGGTATAATTTCTTTTAGTTGGAAAAGCACCACCCACTGCTGTCAAGTAGATTCCAACTCCTAGTGACCCTATAGGACAGAACAAAACTGCCCCATGGGGTTTCCAAGATTATAAATCTTTACAGAAGCAGACTGCCTCATCTATCTCCCAGAGCCATTGATAGTTCTGAACCATCACCCTTTTGATTGGCATCTGAGTGCTCTAACCACTGCACCACCAGGGTGTTAAATATATACAGCAGTCTGAAAAAAGCATGATAAAATTACAGCCAACATTAGACCTAAAATAGACCCTTCCTCAGAAATAAAATACTAAGATAGATAAAGAAGCGGGAAAGTTCATAGCTTCAGTCTCTTGTGTGGCCAATTTCACCAAGTGTTTTAACTGTATAAAACTAGGAACACCTAAAATAGCTGGATATATTTAATGTGCTTACTATATTCAATTAGATTCACATTCATTAATTCTGCTTTTCTATATTATACACAGAAAATAAGAAAAGGACAGGGAACAAATTTCCAAGGATGAAATTTCCACATTTATTTTTCTTCCATGTGCATAGAAAATGGCAGTGAAGTGTCCTATGAAAGAGGCAGGGAATGGGCGAGGCATAGCTATACCAGACTGGACTTTGTGCTTCAAAAGTACACTATTCATTTTGAAAACAAAGGATGTTGCAGTTTGTTTTTAATTGCTAAGTTTCTTGGGTTTCCCATTTGTTTTGTAAGCTGCTGCTTTCAACTCTCTTTTCAAATGACACACTGCATTACAAATGATGGCACTTAACCAATGTGGCATTTCCATATTTACACCAATGAAAGAAATTTACAAGACATAATAGCATACAATCTTGACATTTAGTAATAGCAGTAAAACATGAAGGGCATCCATTTAATTTTTTTTTCTGTACAAACTATCAGAACATAACTTTATTCACATTAAAAAAATCATCTTTAATTTGATTTGACCTACACATCCCCCATCTCATTTCACCCATTTCTCAAACCTCTCATCACATTGCCCACACCTTCACCAGACTACAGAATCTACAAGTAATTAGATCTAACACCTAAATAGAGCTTAGAAAGTCCTTTCTTCCAAAGGTTTCACTTCCCTGATAATTCCTCAAAAAAGAAAAAAAAAAAAAAAAAATGCTCTTCACTCATTCCTTCCTTTCACTTTCACATTTCACCATCAAATCAGCAAGACGGACTTTTCATCTCAATCCAAACAATATTAGAAAGAAAGAGTTCCTCTACTGAGCATCTTGATGCTACACCCAGGAGTCTGGGGACCCTGGATACTGTTCTGCTCTGTAAGAAGGTTGTTTAGTGGAATAAAAGTCTACGTAATTTGTGGTCGATTTCAGTCCATACTGTGTTGAATAATCAGTAGAAGCTGGAAAGTGAACTCGATCATCAAAATAAGGATCTTCATAGCTATGAGGAGACTGTAAATATAATCTGTACGCATCAAAGTTCTTTCTGTTGGAGTCATCTTGCGTATAATACAACTGTTGGTGCTGTTGACAAAATGAAAAACCAAATAAATGAAAGCAATCCTCCAAAACATGAGTTTAAGGCAAATAAATGTGGGCTTCCCGTTTCATATTTTTAAAGCAATATTCAGTATTTATGGACTTATGGTTAAAAGCTGTTTCTAGTGAACACGGTATGTTTACTAATGGACTGCAAGGATTTAAAACTGTACCATTACAGGTGGGTATAAGTGCGATAAAGTCTTGTCTTGTCCTAAAGGCCTCCACAGAAGTTGGTGCCTCAGGAGAGCCCAAGACCTCTGTGGCAAGCAGCCCCTGGCTACCTCCCATCCTGACTGGCGCCTGCTCTGTGCTGTGCTGTGGAAGAGGACCCTTACCAACAAGATGATGTGCCTGAGTTTTGCTTTGACACAGGGCAACCACTGAAAGAAATATGTGGTTTGGTGAATAACAGTCATACATTGGAAGCTCTGCTGTAAGTTGTGATAGTAAAGGAATAAGCAATCTCAAAACAATAGTAATATTAGAAGAGATGTGAAGAGATACAACCCTAGACTTGACTTCTGGGACTAACAGAGACTTTTTCCTAGAAGAAAAGGCTTCTCTAACCAGGGCTCAAAAATACACCTGTGAGGAAGCTCCTGTGGACGTTCACCCAGGGGGTGGGGGACTGTCTCCCCATTTCCTTGTGTACTTATGACCTCACATTAATTTCTTCAAATATGTTTGGAGGAAAATCATCATGGTTCTTATGTTTTTCTTTCTTCTTGACCATACCCCAATTTTTCCACTTAGTAAAATGTGACATAGGTATCAACATCATGTTTGCCATTTTAAGTACTTAAGAGATTTCAGAGCAAAACTCTTTAATGTATGTTAGAGTTGTGATTCTGAGGTTATTTTTCTGGGCTACAAAAAATATCATATTAATTATGTGTTAATTATTAAATATTAATTATGAGTAATGGGAAACTATTTTTCTTCCAACTATAGAAAAAAGAAGATAAAATGGAGGGAGGTCTTAGAATATCAGAAGGCAGGTTACAACCTTGTTTTGGGAGATTCTTACTGCTCACATGTTATTGGAAGGTGACCTAGATGGATTATTAGGAAGGACCTGAAGCTTATTTTAGGACCCTATAAAAGCAGAGATTTGAGTGTATTATTACAACTACCAGTCCCCATTTAGAAAGTGGGGTCCAACCTAGCAGGGACTGTATGTATCTCCCTTGACCTTTGGGGCTAATAGAGGCCTGGCTGTGGACTCAATGTTTTTAAATTATGAAGGGATGGCGGAGAGGGAGTCATGAAGATGGAGAATGAGGTATCCGAAAAAAAAGAACACTGAGATGAGAGAAAGAAATGTGCTTACCCACCTTTCCCCACAAAGAAGATGAAAGAAATTTTAGATTTTAATAGAAAAATGAGTTGGAAAGGGAATTGTTAAATATTTCTCAGGTGGTTCCCCTCAGTGGCACGGTGGTCTCAGCAGCACCGATTCACACACTCAAGAACATCAGGCTACTTTGGAAGTGATTTGCTTAACCCACGGATGAGTTTCCGAGGAGCAAAGATTCCCTGGGAAAGAGCCTGTGCCCCTGCTGTGTTGGCTCAGTGCTGGCAAGTCAACCAGCATGGACCCCTCACAGTGCTGATCCCTGCTAATCGCCCTTCTGTAAAATGATATTGCAAATTCACCTGTAGCCGTCTATTTTGTTCTCTTGCTGGTGAGGAATAGGAACTGATGTAAATTGGTGAAGGTTTGCTGGAGCCTGTAAGAAAATATTTTATGAAATTAAAACACGTGCTCATAACTGGTCTACTAGGGTGTGTGGTCCCTATACTAGGGCTGGTGAGTTCCTGAGAGGACCTGCCTTCCAGGTGTCACTACAGACCAGGAGTCATGGCTTCCCTGGATCTAGCCTGGCTTTACTTCAAGGCAATCAGGGGCTAGTGAGAATGGCAAAAATAGGCCATGTGTATTTCATGAAAGAGGGTTCTTTCTTAACCTCTGATCACTGTGGGGAGCTGTTCACACTTTGATTTGCTGTGATTTGTATCGCAAACTGCTCCTCACAGATTTCCTGGGCTGGTTTGAACACCAGTACAGCACTGCTCCTTGAGTTGATGAGCACTGCTTCTAGGGTCTAAGCTAGAGCACTGGGTCACAGAGAAGATGGCAAACAGTATTAGGAAAGACACTATCCTTCAGAACAGCTTTGATTCAAAACCTCAGGTCACGGAAGAGCAGCACAGGAGTGTTCAAAGCAGTTGGGCTACGTGGAGGCAAAGTTTTGGGTCTGCCGTATTGAACTATGTATTAAACAAAAAGCACTTGGTAATAAGATCAAGGTCTTCAAGAGTCCACAGCAGAATTCTGATGATGTCATTGGTTACTCTTCTATTATTGTTAAGGCTAACAAAAAGTTTTATATATTTTTTTAATGAGGATAAGGAAACATACTTATTGAAAATTAGTTTCTTGAAGCAAAAGCACATGCAGAAGGTGTGCAGGCTAAAGAGGCACTCTAAAATAAAGCAGCTGCCAAAAGTCAGGAGCAGCAACAGCCCTGTATGTGTATTTCCTTTGCAAAGAGCATGGTGTTTGAAATGTAGCCTCTGTAATTTTCTGAGCTATTAATTGCCATAGTAACAATAGTCGATTAGTAAACAGTCCTGTGAAATCACAATTTCAAAGACAACAGCACAACTGAGAATGCTTCCCCAGCAGTAGTTAAATTGCTACCATCTATTATTTATTTTTTAATAAATAGCTTTTTTTTTTGAGAAAGGAGCACTCTTAAAAATGGTAGCTCACACTGCCTTGTTAAAAATCTCTTGAGTAGTTATAATTTGAAAGATAGTTGAGAATGGAGACATGAATCTTGTTAACCCTTTGAGCTGGGATCCTTTAAATAAATTATATGCACAGTTTTCTGAATAAGACACAAAAGTATTAATAGTATGCAATGTTATTTTTGTTACTCTTTAAAAAAATTACTCTGAGGAGAAACACATACATTTTGCTATTCATTCAAATGCAATTCCATGAGAACATAAATGAAACTAGATCTTCATTCTCAGGTTTTGTATTTAAGAAATAAGCTTATCTAGGAGATGTAGCCTCTACAAAGCCATAGGGATCACCGTTCAGATGTACATGGAAAACAGAGGCTGCTCCATCAGGGAGGGGAGGGACTAGAAGCAAAGGGACTGTATAGCTGGACAGCCTGAACTCATTTCCCATTTGGATAACCAGCTGCCATGAAATCGATTGCAACTCATGGTGACCTGTGTGTCCCACTACAACTGTGCTCCATAGGATTGTCATTGGCTAATTTTTTGGGGAAGATCACCAGGCCTTTCGTATGAGGTGCCTCTGGGTGGATCTGAACCTCCAACCTTTTGTTGGGCAGGTGAGCAAGTTAACCTTCTGTACACCCAGGGACTCCTCTCATTTGGATACAGCCCTCTTTTTATTTGTGACCCAGCATATCACTACATCAGCTTGTTTTACTTAAAACAAGTGGAAAAGGCAACAGTTCCTGAAGAAGGAAGTGGTGGGACTGACACACTGTTGGCTGCTGGGGAGCCATCTAAATATAGGCACGGGCTACTTCCCAGGCTATTGGACCAGTGCCTGGACACACACGATGTTTGGAGATACTGTATTATACACCCAATTGGCATCTTACCCGGGTACAGGCCTTTATGTGTGGCATCCCCTTGACTATTGTAATACTGCATAGGTGGCTGGGTCCTATCGTATTCAGAGCGAGGGTCTCTGATTCCTAACAGTGCTGGTGAAGAAGAGGTGCTGCCGACTGAGGGAGAAGCAAAAGGAGGAGGAAGAAAGAAAAGAGAAAAAAGAGAAATCAGGTTGTTAATGCTTCTGGAAAATCCTCTCCGGAAAAACAAAGATCAATAATTAGAAATGCCACAGAAGCTGGTGCTGAAAATCGGGTCTTAGAGGTGCTGTGAGTTGAAGAGCAGCCAGGCCTGAGCACCCTGCATGTGCCCTGCCTGCCACTGGGTGAATCAGCAAAGTCAGTGCCTGAGCTTGCTCCCAGCTAAAGTACTAGCTGCCCAGTTAGAGAAAGGCATTGCAGAAATCATGCAGGTTGCCAAACAGTGTGTCTCAATGACTTGGTTAGGCCTTGGAAGCAAAGTGAGTGATAATACCTCATTAGCTATGCAAGAGTTATACTGCTATTTTATGATCTCAGTTCTGGTGCTTGTAAAACGATCTATTATCTGCTATGTATAGCTCTTCTAAATAGATCTTTTATGACATGTTTTGATTTCTAATTATTTCAAAAATACCTGTATCTTTCAATGTGTTTCAATAAGAATGTCTAGCCCATGAAATTTAAAATTCTTTTTATGGTGATCAGCTGTAAGGAAAATTATGTAAACCCAGTAAGCTGGGCTCATCAAAAAGCTTGCAAAGCTGAGAAGGCCCAGTCTTCCTAAAGACCCAGAAGAAGCTTTTTATCCCAGCTAGCGCTAAACATGTAAAAATAACATACGTATCCATGGGTTTCCTTTTGGATAGTTTTGCATAGAAGGATAACAGAAACATTTCATGTATTTTTTTCTCTCATTAAGAAAATCATCTTGCTTGCACTATAATTAATTATAAGGAAGAGTGGCCACTTAATTCATTTGATACACTTCAAAGCAGTGGCCTCCAAACCTTGCCACCAGTGTTCTTGGCACATAATGATGCTTTCAAAGAAAAGACTGACTTTGTAATGCTTTTTCTTAAAAATCACTTTGCTCCATGTTAAGTAAGCATGCTTGGGCAATGTCCATGTGCTATTCACTTTGCTTATGTTCTAGAAGACAGAAGGACAGAGGACATACCTGCCTGCCTTCTATAAACACACTAGCAAAGCATCAGAAGTCCCTATCAGCAGATCCCACACTATTGCTGAAGGGAGGGATCAGCCTAGAATAGCTGGAGACAGAAGAGTAAAAATATACCCTACTTCTGGACGAAATCCAAAAAAGGTAGCTAGGAACTTGGACAGGGATTGGACAACACTGTCTAGTATGTATATTTATAAGGTCCTCAAAACAAGTTCATTGTTCAATAATTAGGTGCTAATCTGTCTGAAATTATTCCTTTGCCTATTACATGTGCCTTTTGTTAAGCAGCCAAATCTCTTGCTTCTCTCGACACCTGAGTCCTGATTCCTTAAAGGATCTGGAGCATTTTTATAAAACAAGACAGTCTTAGGTTACCCTTGGGAGCTCAGCAAGGATGTTCAACAACAGGGGCAGGTCTCTGTGAAGAAAAAACTTCTAATTTAAAAATCAAGATATAAATATATACTGTGCACGGCAGTCACAGATAATTTTAAAAAATTTCTAGAAAAAATGAAGATATCCAATTATGTGGCAAAAACCACTGCTCATAAAGTAGTCGTTTTGGCCGCATTTGTTCACATGATAAATAAGACTGCCAGCCGTAGCACAGTTAAATACAACAGATAATATTTACATGCCAGAATAGGTGATTTAAAGCCAAATAAAAATCAGATATTTATTACTTTCTCTGCTTCTTTTAGTCAGGAATTAAACTTACAGGAATAGTCTTGGCTTGGTAGCAATCTATTCTTTCATATAAAAGAATTTAGTCTATGTCTCAGAACTGTTTTCTTTCTTTCTACCAAGAAAGAAAAACACCATCAATAGGTAAACATTGTGATAACCAAGATTCTCAACTAAAAATCAAAGGAAATCCCTACAAATCCATCAGCCATGGGCTCTGGGGGTTCTGAATGAAGCCAGGAATGAAGGTTTAATTTGGTAAAAAGGCAGGCACAGAGGAGACCATGAACAATTTCCTGTGCTGTGGGCCTAAAGACCATATCCCAAAAACCTTGTTTCTAAGAGCTTTCACAGGAAAAGTGAAAAATCACTTTGAAGGAGATTTTAAACTTACAGCCAGCAGGTGGACATGGCAGCAGTGTTTGTGCATAACCAGAGGCCTATCTAGAGAACAGTGCCACAGTAAGCACTGAAATCGCAGCCCTCAGGGGCAGAGGGAGGGTAATAAATCCCCAGGGGCAGTCTCTAAACTGCACCTCTCCCCCTATTTCAAGATGAACACACCATAGCTGGGAGGAGTCAACTGAAACCTTTCTTTCTCTTGTCTGGCTGCCTCAGTCAGGCACCTTTCATATTTGTAGCACCTCAGAAAGTCATTCTGAGCCTTGTCTGGTGGTCCCTTGGACTTGCACCCAGGAATAAGTGCCCTCCTCTGCCCCTACCTGTCCCCCCACACCTCTTATCTATCGTGCTTGAGGAAGGATGCTGGGCCCCACTGGGTCAATAGAAACTGCTCAGTGGCATCCCCCCTTTAAGTGGTATCCATGGCACCTGTCACACCTTAGGTATGCTTCTGTGCATAATCCAGTGTTTCTCAAAGTGTGATCCCCTACTCTTCTGTATCCAGACCACCTGGCCAATGTGTTCAATTCCCGGGCCCCTTCTCAAACCTAGTGAAACAGAATTGCAGGGGAGAGGGCCCTGGTATACCTTAAGACCTCTAGCTGGTGTAACCTTGTATAGACTTTTAAGATAGAAGGAGGAAAGTGGGTTTGTTGTTTACAGTAGCTTGTAATTCCCAAAGAATGCTCTCAGCTAGATGGGCCAATATTCCTCCTCCGTGCTTAGAGGTGACAGGCTTAATCAGCTTATGTTTAGTCTTCTCCAGTACAGAAACAATGTTCTGTCACACAAATGTTCTCACGAGAGAGTGATGTTTACCCACTGACCTGACTGAATGATGGGTGACATCTGTTGGTTGGTGGTAGACAAGGAAGGATGTGATTTGAATCTGTCTCGCTCTAATGTCGACACAGGTGTAATAAAATGGTTCTGATTCCACCCATCCTGTGGAGTTAAAAGACAAAAAGGAACCTCTCAAAATAAATAATGACATTTCATTACAATAAATGATTATGAATGTGTGCTCCAATGAATGCTAATTGTGCCAGAGCTATTCTTGTGAGTTACCTTTTTATAAATGCTCCGAAGGTCCCGATATTGCCATAATGTATTCAAGACCTGGGCTGCGGCCTTCACTACTTTCAGAGACGATCTGGGGAGACAGCAGGGATGTAATGAATGGGAGTGGCACAGCCTCAGGTTCCTCTTCAGGAGAATCAGGCTGCAAACCAGTGGCCAAGAGGCCATCTTTCCAGGACCATTCGGCACGAGGGTATTGCTAAAAAACACCACCAAGGAATGAAGTGCATCTAGGAATCAATCATGTTCAGGGCTGACCAGAGGTGGCAAGAACAAATGGTAGGCTGTCAGGCAGCCAGCTCTGTGTGAGAAGCTGTGGCTGAAAAGAACCCATCACTCTCTAAGTTGAGGGCTTCTTGCAAGTGTCAACCCCTAGGCTGCCCCTCTATGCTATCTCTATGAAGGGCCACTATCCTCATTGGGGCTTTGTGCTTAATGTGACTGTGACCATGCATCTCAAGCGTCTGAGATGCTCTCAAGTTAATTTAACTTCCCCCCTCACTTTCAGGCCTTCATAGAAACACCTTCAAAGCTTTTTTTAATCATAGACCTCTATGTTGATAAATGCATATGTATGTGTTCAAGCGCTTGACATGGAAAATATGTCCAGTTATTGACTTTAACCTCTCTGAAGGCACGTTTCTGAGTGGACTCTAGTACTCTGGTGCTCAGTTTAAGCATCTCTGATCACAGTCCACAGTCAGTGAATTTCATTATGGCAACTACTGTTCTTAATCAGTGGTCTCACCAGTCAATCAAGAGGGAGTTTCAGCTTCTTGCCTCAGCTAAGACTTTCAGATCACCATGGTGGGGTGGTACTCACTGCCCAGTGCTAGGGAAGTCAGCTCAGAGGATAACTGAACACTCTATCTTCAGAATTCATTTTAATATTGAAAATCTGACTTCAAATGTATACCTCCCAATCTAAAATCTGATTTTTTCTTCTACCCCTTACCTGCCCAAATAAACTCTCAGGAAGTAGGGGAAGGAAGAGCAGAGCACAGGCCATACGCCATTTCCTCTGCCCCTGACCTCAGAGCATGGGTCACTGATGATTCTGAGGGTGACAGTGAGGGCTGAGCATAGGCAGATTCTGGGGCTCCACAGGCTCTATTTCTGGTAGTGGGAAAGTCCCCATGTATTTCCACCCTTACCTCACACCCAAGACACACTCTTCTCAGTGATCCAATCCTGACTAGTCATGGACAGAATTAAGTAAAACCAATCCACTCAAAGCCTTTCTAAAAGGACCACAGAGCAAGGTAATACCTCCATACCAACAAACAACATGGGGTCACTATGAGTTGGAAGAAACTCGATGGTACCTAACAACAAACAACAAGAAGTAACAATAAATGAAATTTTGGGTACCCAAGAAAACCTCTGGAGGTAGATATTGGGGAGTGGAGCCCTCACACAAATAGCCATCTTATTCTCAGCTAGGTCCTGACACTCTTCCTGATGTTTATCTCCCTGTCTTCAGGTATTAGGCAGCCAGAATAGAAGCATGAAAGGTAGACCCCATGCCTACCTCCAAGGATGACATCTGCAACACCCAATGAGCAGGAGCATGTCACATATACTCCTTGATACAAAGAGCAAGGCTAGATGTTTTTAGACACAAATTCCATGAGCTAAAAACCTGCTTCACGAGAAAAGCAAGGAAGGTTCTCTACTCATCTTTGCAGCACAATTCCTCCAAAGACTTACACATTCTCATCTCCAATTCCTCTCATCTTAAACCTGTGACCTCTATCCCTGACCATGAGATTTATAATTGTAATGTTTTCTACCCCACACACCTAACCCAGGCACGCCCTCTCTCCTTCTCCTTTTTATAATCTGCCCTACCAGTCAGTCAGTACCATCTGACATGCTATACATGTTATTTACCCATTTGCTGCACTTTTTCTCCCATGGAATTTAAGATCCTTGAGGGTGGGGACTATTGTGTGATCTTCCCACTGCTGCAACCCCAGTACCTACAACAGTGCCTGACACATAGCAGGCAGACAATAAATACTTGGTGAATAAACCATGAGGGAATTTAAGTGTGTAGAGTTAGAAGGTAACTTGATTTGGTCCAGAACTTTCTCAATTTCATTTTGTTTAAAAAAATAAATAAATAAATAAAATGGGTGATGTCTTCTTTCAATATCTAATGGAATCAGCACTAGTTCAGTATTTCTCATTTTTTCTTATGCCTTTCAACAATCAAGACTACTTAAATGAAATTTTAAAAGCACCTAAGGGGATTCTAGTTACCTCAGGGGAGGAAGAAGGAGGCTAGGAAAGGGAGTTAGTAGAACAGAACCTTAGCTTTATCTGTAATGTCTTATTTCCTTGAAAATAAAAAGGAAATTATACACATTTATTACTAGCAAAATTAAAAAAAAATGTATCTATACATAAAAAAAAAGAACTTAAAGAAAATATGACTAAGTGTTGTTAAATGTGGTTTCTGAGAGGGGAGAGAATATGGGTATTTGCTATGTTATTCTTGTATTTGAGAAATTTCTTAAAAGGTATAAACTAAATGACTAGATGAGGCACAACATGAGGTCTACTACTGCATTCAGTCAATTAACCATTTACTGAGTCCCTACTATGTGCCAGGTAATGTTCTAGATGCTGGAGATACAGCAGCAAATAAAAAAGGCAAAGTCCCTGCTCTGGGGGGAGCTAACTGTCTAGAGGCAGGAGTCAGGCACCAGAATACATAATACATAAATAATACATAATAATGTATCAGTCAGAAGTTAGTGGCATGAAGGAGAATAAAGGAAGGTTAAGGGGGATGGAGAGGGACAGAGAGGGGCCATTTTACCATGGGTGAGGCAGAAAGCATCCCTACCTACCATGCCTTTAAAGGATTCTCTGATCTGATACTGAGGCAAATTTACTGACATTGCTATAGCTCCATGACAAAAAGCCTTCTATTTTTGCCACTAATTTTCTAATGCCTACTTCTGCTGTTCAGCAATTGACTGTCATCTAGAAGCAAAGAGAAATGTGTGATTCAAACCTAGGGTGCGTCCTGAGGCCACACTGCAGCCTCTGCTGCCGACTGCTGATCTTAATACTTTCTAGGCACCTGGCAGAGAAATCAATCCCAGAACTGAGCGTTCAAGAAGATGTTCTTGCAGGTCAGCCCCTTGGGCCTAAAGCAGAGCCAAGGCACAAGAGAAATGGTGCCTTCTGGATTTTTCTCATGGCATTTCTGGTTCTTCCAGGGGTCAGCATGATGAAACCACCAAAATTAATGTGTTGAAATAAATTAAAAACCAGAAAAGGGGACACATGTCAGAAAATATCACTCCCAGCAAAACAGGTCCTAACTGCTAAAGACAGCTGAGCTTATTAACTTGTAAGAAATGAAGAAATCCTTTCCAGCATGAAATGCAGCCTCCACAAAGGCCCTTATCACAGGACAATCCCAGGAACAATCACTACCGTGTGCTACCTCTCCTGCAGCAGACTTGCCTGTCTCCTCTGCCTTTGGTTATGTTCACCAGCTTTTCTATCCCTCCTGAGTCGGCCAGGGCTTTGGCGTTCTCCATGTTTTTGCTGGTGACCTCGTGCAGAGCACAGCAGATGGCCGCCATGGTTTCGTCAGACAGGATGCTAGGGCCGTTACCGCCGGGAAGCCGGTTGACCAGGTCTCGCATGGCATATTTACCTGCCAATGCAGAAAATTAAGTTCTGCATTCAGAAGATACTAGTTTTTTGTTCTGTTTTAAGATTTTGACAGTACAGTTTCTTAGAAATAAAACTCCCAAACATCAACAAGGAAAAAAAAAAGTAAAACCCACAGTGAAGAGGGAAACAACAAACACTGTCATTATAAGGGGAAAGTCAACATCTACTTCAGTGTCACCTGAGGAATGACTGGTTTATAAAACAGTACAGTAAATTGCTGACAGAAAAAGTAAATCAGTGTACCAAATTAGGTATGCCAATCAAGTTGCTTTAGTTAGACTATTTTCAATAACTGAGAAGGAAAGGAATTAGAATACTCTTTTTTTTTTTTTTTTTTTTTAGGATTTGGGTGAAGATTTACAGAGTAAATTCACTTTTCATACAGCAGTTCACATATACTTTGTCTCATGTCATTGACCAAAATTTAC